GGCTTGTTTTACAACGTCGTTGCCAAGCGACGAAAAACCCAACCCCGATGGCAAACACCAGGGGGGGGCGGCGGCTTGTTTCACAACGTCGTTGCCAAGCGAGGAAAACCCAACCCCGATGACAAACACCGGGGGGGGTAGGAATCACCGGATTGTGCGCTGTGCATATACATGCATACAGAAAAGATCATCTGCCGTGTGTGCCCACCCTCTCGCACCTTGTGGCTAGCTCAAACCAGGCAGATAGAGATCACTTACCCGCGAGAGCTCGTCCTGCCTCCCAGACTCGAAGGCCTACCTAACGGGGGCAGCCAGGGTGGGGGGGGGTCCATGCGTGCCTAATCAGAAGAGAGGAAAGAGACGAGTCACCAACGAACGAAGCCACGTAAGGAGGGGGCGGAGGCGGCAGGGGAGGTCTACTCGCTGCTGGCCGACAGCGAGCACTGTTGTATCGTCAACAAGGCACCATGTTGATCAAATTCTAACGAGCCGAAAATCTCCATTTTGGTGCTGTGGAAGTATGAAACTTGTTTGAGTAGTTGGTCTGTGACCACCAAAGGTCGGAGTCAGCTACTTAAACCGGCACGGATGGTACAAGGTGTGGAGTAGAGACCGGAACGGTATTGACGTCAAGGTAACAACAACAACAGCAACAACAAAAGCAGACGAATGTACTTGAGAGGGGGGATACGCCAGCCATATACACTGGAAATGTGCGGACACCCAACCATCATCGCGGGAATCACTGCTCGATTATTATGCGCAACAATGCGCGCCTGTCAACCCGGGAGCAACAAGAAGGGGGGGGGTACGCAAATAAAAAACTCCATGGCAGGTCCCACGGACCATGTGTTGCACCACCCGTAATGAGAGAAAAATGACGAGCGTGGTAAGAACAGTGTGAACGGGAAAAAAGCTGCTGCGCGCGTAAGCTTTCAGTCGCGACAACTTCAGGCAGAGACTCCCAAAACCCCCTGCTAACGCAGATGATCTTACAAGCGTTCCACACACAGCGCATCCGGGGCGGACTTCACAATGAAAGAAAAAGAAAAAACAGCAAGGACATTTACAAGCCAGGGCCGTGGGACCTACCCACCAACTGCAAAACACACAACTCCCGAAAAAAATCCCACCTCGTTGTCCCGGTTGGCCACTCGGAACGAAAAGAACGCACCGCCTTCCTCTTCCTGGAAACCCTTGGCAGAGCAATCACTGCCGGTGCTGAAGCCGTCGCAGAGTGCGGCGCGGCGAGGGAACCAGAACGATTCGAACGCTGTCTCGTCGCTGTGCCCCCCCCCCCCCNCCCCCGGAGCGAAGACACGCACGCCATCCTGGCCAGTAGGAGACCCTCGGCGGGCTCGTCTCCTGCCGTCTCGACTGCCTCTAGAAGAACCTGTCGTACCGCCGCCGCAGCCGTGTTTCGTATTGCTATTTGGTAGTCAGAGCTCACAGCAGGTCTGTCTGGCCAAAGAAGAACACCGGTTTCTTGTTCAAAGCGTGCTGTAGCGTAGTGCATGGGGGAGGCCGACGTTGATTGGAAGTGGCCTTGTCGAGGGTACCCAAGAAGCTAGCCGCAGGATGACGTAGTCCACCCACAAGAGGATGGGTTAAAACCACTAGATGACGGCGAACGACCACGAACATGCATTCCAAACATTTTTTCACACAGTTTTTTTAACAAGCTTGACGCTTTGACCCTCGCAGTGCATCCGTAATCCAGAACAGTCGCGCTCGGGGTTCACGCCGGTTGGGTTTCCAGGCCGCCGACTTTCACTCCAAGCGTTTGCACGCAAACGTGAAAGAAGCTGTTCGAACGCAGAGGTGGGTGCAATAGGGCCCACGGCGCCAAGGACTTGACCACCTTCTTCAATATTTTCTTGCAAACAGGGTTCTTTTTAAATTTCAGAGAGTACGTTTTTTGGATCTACGGACGACAGTAGAAACGGGGGGTTTCGTACCCCTAACCCTGACCCCCAACCCCCCCGACTATCACCAAGCTTTATGCCTTCGCGAGGGCTACTGCAAGGAGGTTGGCATCACATCAAGCACGACAATCTCTCGTTTCACGTGATTTCTCGCACCTTGGTGACCCGGGAGACGTACTCCAAGCGAGGAGGAAACTCCGCCGCGATTGGACAGTCAAGCAGCTCCGCCGCAACCCTCTCCTGAAAACCAAGGGAGGTCCACAACGACGACGACGACGGAAGTCCAGTTTCGTCCTCCCTCCGGCTTTCTGCCGCGGAAGCTTTGAGCTCCCCCACGAGCGCATCCAGAGGAGCCTTGCACGCGAGGAGGGGTTGGGGCACCGCAGAATCATTCGCAAGTTGATAGGGGGAAGTGTGATGCACATGTCGTGTGTGTGTCTCCAGTCTCCATCATCGGCAGCGCTAACTGGCTTACCGGTGAAGACCGTGTGCCTTTTTGCTTTGTTCTTTAGGCGGCTGGATTCGAGAAACAACCTCCGAGCTCACAGCTATGGGGTACCACGACAAGATAAGAAAACAACAATTTGTTCCCGTTCCATACCCTCGGGGTGCGAGAAGGGCTGCCCTATTCAGCCTACAGCAGTACTTGTAGCCGCTACAATTTTTAGTTGGGCGATACTGCGCACGATGATGTGTTGAGGTAAAAAATATGACCAAGCACTGCAGGTGTCGCACGTTTTCCTTAAGATGATTGATCACGAAGGGTTGGCTGACTGCGATTGTTTCGCCGCGGACGAACATGCTTATCAGCGCTGCTCCATAGATACAGTAGACAAACATGTACGCGTCATGTTTCTCGCGAGAGTGGGTTGGGGGGGGGGCGTACTCTTGTGTGTGGCATGCCTTAGCGGTTAGACCATTGACCACGCGTCCTCGAGAGGACGGAGCATTGTTCCCACAGGACCGATCACCGATGGCCCATTGTTCCTTCCTGCTTTGCCAAAGGTGTCAAAAAATGTCTTCCCTAGTCTGTCTATCCTAACGATATCCCTTCCCGCCTTTTCAACCCACCTCCTATGCCCCAGTACAGCTACCGTCCTTTCCTCTCTATTCCATGNNNNCTTCCCGCCTTTTCAACCCACCTCCTATGCCCCAGTACAGCTACCGTCCTTTCCTCTCTATTCCATGCCTCAAACATCTCCCTGTACCTCCCATCATTTTTCCCAGCCCAGTCACGTACACTCCCTCTCCCCTTCGTACAACTGACATTCCGCGAGTACATGAACACGGTCTTTGCATTCGAAGCCGTGATCACATTTGAACATGTCGTCTTCGTCGTCTACCGTCCCCTGTCTTCGTCGCCGTTCTCGAAGGCCTATGTCCCCGGTCCTGAACTTTAGGGCTAGATCGCCTTTTGGGGACACTTTTTGTCCCCATCTTCCTCACCTGCTTTACCTCGCTGAGAATGGCATGATTGTCTCCTCCTTTGAACTATAATACTTGACCAGGGGGGTGCCAGGGTACACGGGGAATACTCTAGTTTCGTGTGGATGCATTGTGGATTGGAGGAGTATAAGGGTTAGGCCCTTCCCCCGCCGGCGATCGCCGAAAACACCGATTTCTGAAAAATGTCGCCGAAAAACAGCTGTAAAAAAAATCGCCGGAAAAAAAAAAAAAATCGCCGTTTCTGAAGGGGGCTCCGCCGAATCGAAAATTGATGGCGCCTATTGTCGCCGATTGAATTCACGTTGCCCCCTGTACCTTCTTCGTAGCTCTATACCAGCTGCACAGCTTCACACACGGCTGGACGGCGGTGCTATGTCGTCGCCTCGTAGCGGTTTGGAAGCCTACTCTATAAGTTGTTGTTGTTGTTGACTTCACATTAAACCGTATGCCAGTTGCTAAATGCCAAAATCTAGCAAAGACTCTCAGCCCGTGGTCACGAAAGTGCTAGAGCCATCTGAGGATCTAAAGAACACGCACACGTAGCAAGAAAAAGGTATCCAAGAGCCCGAAGAGGTACTACTACACCTATATATAATCCCTGCAGCACCGTACGCGTGCCCAAAACTGAACTACACGTCCGTCTCACCGTTCGACTACAGCAACATCACCCCCTACCTGTCCCACTCTGTACCAAAACGAATGATTGCCGACTACAGCATACTTGCTGTCTGAAGTGCTGTCTGTACAAAAACACCATGGTNCCCAACTACACCACCACGCGCATGCCTCGCGGCGGATATGCGCAGCAGCAAGAAGGTTTCGGTCATCCCTTGAGGGTGAATCTAGCCCTGCTCGCCAGAAAGACCCCCCCCTTCACTACAACCCATGTCTAAGCAAAAGCTTGTCGAGGAGCGAGGGGAAGAAGGGAGAGTAAGTAGGCGGGATAATAGCAGTGAAAGCGAAGGGGATTCGGACAATGAGGAGCAATTTGTCCGCCAAAAGACAAGTGCCGCGGCTGCCACCAGCGGCGACAACGGCAGCGGCAGCGGCAGCGGCGGCAGCGACGGCAGCGGCAGCAGCGGCAGCGGCAGCGGCAGAGCCGCACCACCTGCTTCCGGTGCAAGAGCTTCGCCGCGGGTCTCTTATGCTGGTTCAGCTTCTTCTAGCAGCAGTGCCTCTGCACGACAAGAGAGCGTGTACAGAGACCGTATTTGCGCTTCCGCACTGCTCAAGTACAACAGGGGCAGGGTCCAAAGTAGCTCAGAAGAGAAGGAGGGAAGCGCCGCAGATGCCAATAACGGCGGCGGTATCGACGAAAGCGATGAAGGCAGCGACTGAAGACCTGTGATTTGTAAATTTCATGCCCATGTCTTTATTGTGTCGTAGGTCGTAGGAGTAAAAGATTTTTTTGCCCCCAAGTCGCGCGTCATCCTATCCTATTTCAGAAATTTTTCGATGTTGAGTGCAGGTTCGGAATATTGCATGCTGTCATGCTGTCTCTAGCAAAGAAGTGAAAGGGCAAATTACTTCGTTCGCTATCGCCGGCAGGTGACCTCTGCAGCAGTCCAACCGTCGACAGTCTCGCGACCCGCTCGTTTGTGTGTACTACAAGTACATGTATGCGTCGCGAAAGTCGCTTCCATGAAGTCGCTGAAGTTAAAAATGGCGAAAGGTAGCAGCCGAAGAAAATCNGTGAAAGGGCAAATTACTTCGTTCGCTATCGCCGGCAGGTGACCTCTGCAGCAGTCCAACCGTCGACAGTCTCGCGACCCGCTCGTTTGTGTGTACTACAAGTACATGTATGCGTCGCGAAAGTCGCTTCCATGAAGTCGCTGAAGTTAAAAATGGCGAAAGGTAGCAGCCGAAGAAAATCGCCGAAAATCGCCGAAAATGAAACAGGACTCGCCGAAAAAACATACTGAATCGCCGAATGTCGCCGAAAAGGTTTTTCTTCCATCAGTAGTATTTGCCGAAAAAAATCGTGAAACGCCGAAAAAAAAAAAATCGCCGGCGGGGGAAGGGCCTAATAAGGGTAATGAACAGATCGAATCGCGGGGCGATTACGCCGCGGTTTCAACAGCGAAGTTGCACCGCGTCTGTCTACCCTTGGGTGGAAAGCGCTACTAGGGGCAAGCGCGGAATAAGTACCTAGCCCACCGTTGATAGGAGGCACCCGGCAACCTGGGGCTTGGGTTAGAAGGTCTCGCTTTCCCTCGAGATTAATATCTTAAAATCCTCCTATTCGTGCCCCATTTACCACGCTCCCGCCAGTGTTATCTATTATCCCTATCAAACGTCCCCTCGATCGTCGAGGGGACAATTGATAGGGATTATTGACAAGAGACGGCTCAAGTGGGAAGGCAGCTTTGCACTTGCACCCAGGGATGGAACTGCTGTGTGCACCATCCAATCAGCAGGCGTCGTTCGCTCTTGTTCTTACATTTCAGTAATTTCGAAAGAACGCCGAGTTTTCTGTGCGTGGTAAGGGGGTTAAGCTTTGTACCTACATCCATTGGTTCATGTAGGTAATCCTCGAGCCCAATTCCTTCTTTCAACATTCTGTACACTTCTAGACCCTCCTTATCCTCGGATTCTTTCCAAAGATTCTGTTCCCTCTCGGCACAACAGATATCTTCTCCTTGAACCCCTGTAGACCCTCGGTTTCCAGGGTTTCATCTTCGTCGATTTCGCACCCCTTCCACACGTCCTCTACAACCTTGACCCAATCCGTGGGTTGTCTCCCCCTCTTTTTGTTTGCCAACTTCGCCTCCCATACTATTCTCGGCAACCTCTCCTCTCCCATCCCGCACATGCGATACTGCCATGTCAGCTTCTGTTCCCCACCGCAGGGATTGGATCCCCAATATGCCCCGAGGGTTGGGGGGGAGGGGTTGTGAACACAAGGAGCAATTGCATGCAATTTTCACACCATTGTCGTAGGTCATGTTTTGCATGCATAATCTACTACTGCTGCTGGGCTGCTGGATTGCTGGCGTACTGCTGCACTACTGTAGATCTCTCGCAGCGAATCTTCCCGAGATCCTTGCTCGTGCTCCTATTCATACATATCTAAGCATGTTGTGAACAAAAATGAATTCAAGTACTTCATATCTACGCTGCTCTATAGACTATAGCAACAGGGTGTAAACGGCGGAACAGCTCTGCCGTTTGCATCAGGGTCGGGTGGGGTCCACACGCAAAATCGGTGCGATACGGAAGGCGGAGTGCATTGACACTGCTGCTGCTGCTGCTGCTGCTGCTGCTGCTGCTGCTGCTGTGTGGGATTCCACGGTCCAAAACATCTTTGAATATACGTTGTAGTCTAGGCACAGGGTGTGCTTTCACGAAGGGTTTGCTGTTGCTGCGCATGGCGACATCGGGACATCAGGGACCTTGGGTGAGGGAGAGACGAGGCAATTCCGCACCACAGGAGACATAGTCTTCACCTGCTGAAGGTAGAGTCGGAGGGCCCGTTTCAGGTAGACCATTCTCGTCCCTTCGTCACACACGCAGTGTATTCTGCTCCGGCAGCATATCACCTCTCATCCGGCCGACATACAGGCCCATACAGGCTGTGCAGAGAGCTGTTGCGGCCCCGTAGATAAGCAATGTGCAATGTAGGGTAGGTGTGCTGCTGCATGAGATACCTCTGAAAAGAGTCACAATTTGGGAGACCCCTGCCCGGAAACCAGCAGCAGCAGGAGGCCTGCCAGAGACTAGAGGGTAGCAAGCCCACAGCATCGCCGTGCGTGAGCCCTGGACAGGCCAGGCTCGCGTGCATCACGCCTCCGAGCCCCTAACTGCGTCTCCCCTCGCGGAGCGGGAGACGAGAGGAAGCGTGTGGGATAGAACAAAAGGGAGGTGGGGACGGAACAGCATCAACACAACATTTTTTTGTTGTTGAGTTGAACAGTTTTTTCTGCAACCTCGGGAAGCGCAAAGATGCTGAGGAGCCCGTCTCCATCCCGCAGGCCTAGCGCCACAGGCGGTGCCACCAAATCGGTGAGTGCAGAACACGCTGCAAGTTGTCTTTGACTCGTGGAAGCGCGGCGTGTGTGCCGTTTGTGTCTTAGAGCGATCAGCTGCCTCATCATTCAGCAACCCAGCAGGTAGCTACACTGTCGCACGGGTGAACAACGACCCTGTTCTGTCTGCAAGTTCGTTTTATCTTCAAAATAGACTTGGATGGAAAACGGTCCGGCCGGGGCACCATTTTGCGAGAGGAGTGAGTGTTTGCCGCCCTACGGCTGTAGCCTCTTGTGTGTTTCTCTCGGTGATGTCCGCCGCGCCTCCACGCCCCGCGTTTTGTCCGTGGATTGCCCTGAGGCGTAGTGCTGGATCCTGTGGACACAGGGGCCCGAACACTTCTTCACAGCACCGGCAACCGCCGGGTATTTTTTCCGATCATGCCAATAGCTTTCTTGCCAAACATAGCATCCGCTTCCAAGATCCAATATGAAGACTTTCGGCATACGAACCACCATCTCCATGTACGCCACACACGCGCGCATGTAAGGGACGATCAATCGTGTGTGTGTCTCTCCCTCCTCCTCCTCCTCCTCCTCCTCGTCCTCAGTGGTGCAGTCATGAATATGTTCCCGCTTTTTTTAGTTGCGTATGCATACAGGCTCATAAGCAAGCAGCAGTTGTGCACCGCTGTCGTGCGCGGTCCGCTTGTTTTTTTCTCAACACTTGCCTTCAGGAACGGAAGAGAGAAGCAATAGAGTATTGTACTAGTGTTGATCACCTTCGTTTAGTTTGGTCGTATAATACGAGGGATTGAGCGAAGAGAGCGACTCTTCTCTCAGCATCATGACGCGTTGCTGCGTGTCTTGCGACGGCGGAAGGCAAAGCATCAACAACCATGGGCTACCCTGTAACTCGCTGACGTTTAGCACAACAACTCAGCCTGAACTGACTCATGAGGCACGCTTGATTTGTCTCCCCGTGTGTAGTGCAACATCTCTACTGGTTAAATACCCCGTGGCACATTCGAGGTGTTGTACGTACCTCGAGGTCGCTGTCATCCGATTCAGCGAAGATGATGTTGTTCTGCGGAGCGTGGTGTGCTTGGAGGAGGGGAAGACGGAAGCGCGGGGGGGNGGGCAGTGTGGGGGATGCTGTATGCCGATGATGCCAGCGTCGTATCGAGGTCTGCAGGACTAGCGAGAATGATGACCATCATCGTTGAGGTGTTCGGGGATTTCGGGCTAACGGTGTCGAAGAAGGAGACGCTCCTGATGCGCGCGAAGGACAAGCCGACTACAACATCACAGCCCCCCCCGCCTCCACCGCTGACCATCGAAGCCGCGGGGCAGAAATGCGCCCAGACGACCGAGTTCCAGTACCTCGGTGGCCTCGTCAACGAACATGGCGACCTCACCCGGGAGATCAACTACAGGAGCAGAGGAGCGTGGGCGTCCCTCAGGCGATATTGCCGGGAGCTCTTCGACAGACCGAAAGCGCCATTCCGACTCAAGATCCGCCTGCTCCAGGCGGAGGCGATGGAGGCACTGCTGTACGGCTGCATGGCATGGTCACCACTCAGCGGCCACTATCAGACGCTGCGGTCGATACATCACCGACTGCTCCTTCGAGTTATCAGGTACAAGCCCAAGAAAGACACCTAGGCCGGCAGCTCTCTTACGCCCAGACGCTGAAGAGGGTCGAATGCCAGAGCGTTGAAGCCACGATGGACAACGGCGCCTGCTGTTCGCGGGAGCATTGGCAAGACAGCCGGGCGGGCGGCTCCCGAAACGACTGATGCTCGGCAAACTGGCAGGGGCGGCGAAGCGACGTAGGGGGGGACAGGAACAGAACTGGCCGAAGTGTGTGCTCGACGACCTGAAGGCATTCGGGGCCGACCACGGATTTACGAAAACCGACCCATGTTGTCTCGGAATCCCGGTACCTCAAGACACGGCACCGAAGTTAAAGTGGACGGAAGCCGCGAAGGTGGAGGGGGCAGTACCCTGGCATGCGGCGGTGCTGCAGGGGGCTGAGAGGTTCATGACCTCCTGGCACGAGAAGGAAGAAGAGGCCAGCCGACAACGGACGCTCAAACGAAACCACAAGCCAACAGCCAATGGGGCGGGAGGGGGGCAGCAGACGGACGAGACGAGGAGGGAAGAAAGCAAACGAGAAGAGACGGACCGAGTGGCGCGATACGTGCCGGATTGAATTTCTTTTAGCGAAGCCCCCCCCCCCCCATGCTGCACCATTGCACCAACCCCCCACAAGTGATGACGTACTATAACAATGTATCGCTGGTTGGTGGCCATGTTTGCGTGTTTGCTTGTCGTTAGTGGTCTCTCCACCGTGTGCCTTTTTCTGTCTTTTATTATTTCTTGTTATTTTCGGCCTGGTCCCTTTTTTTTTTTCTTAATATCACACAGCAAATCCATCTCTATCTATATAAATAAGTCTAAGATAGATTAGCCATGAATCCATATCGTGAGCGAAAAGCTACCTGTGTGTCTACGGTTTCCCAGACAGCATACAACGATATCTCTCCTGTGGGTAACAAGCTCAACAAGGCAGTTTGGTATCCATTTTGTGTATCTTGATGTCCTCGCTCTTTTTCATTTCATAATCTCCTTCCTTTTTAGATGGCCTTGTCTCTGCTTGCATCAATTGAAGTAGCAAGATTGAACCACGGGGGTGTACCTCTTTCTCTCCGGCCCGTGATGGTGACTCCTAGTCTCAGTTGTTATTCCTCGCATAGCGCGCAGAGGGAGTGGACGGCTCCGGAATATCTGTTGTTGATTTCTATTGACTTGCGGACCCTCGGGGCCAGTTTTTGGAATGTACCTATTTAGGGTAAGTTAGCCTGCGACCACGGGAATCGACCGCGTCGAGTGTTGGATCAGTACGGACATACCAAACAAAGTACTGGGTAGAGAGAGATCGGAACGGTTTTTAATGTGAAGACAACATTAACAACAACAACATCGTATGAGTTGACCCTATTCCGGCGGGTAAACCTGCGTTTCTGTGCGCCACTCGCTGACTCGGTTTGTACATGCGCGAATTCGTCGAGCTTACGACGAACCTGCTACGTATGCAAAGTATACAGGTTGAGACCCTCGCACAGCAGTGTTCTTTCCAAGTCCGTCCGTTCCAAGCCCTGCGGTACAAATATGCATACGTTTGGCGCTGACAAGGTGGCGGTGACTAAGCTTGTGAGGTATTGACGGGGTCGTTGACTATGCACAGTATACGTGTGTCATCCTGCAGGGAAGAACTTTTTGCTGACGCTATGGATTCATTGCTAATCTATCTTAGACCTTTCTTCGGTAGAGATGAAAAAAAAAGAAAAAGAACGCACGCGATACACACGACCCGCTTCCGGGATAATTCCCGGCGGGTACAGGGTAGGAAAAAAAACAATTGCAACATGATATTTTGCCACCAAAGTGGGTATGCACTTGGGGAACTTGTACATGTATTCGGTACGCAAAATTATCTTCCAACAAAAGATCACATACCCGTTGGAGACAGCAGCATCATGACGTGTGTCGCAATGTTTCAGCGAACTGCTCTGCTGTAGATACAATGTGAGTGAATGCGTAGCAGAGGGGTAGTGCGCTATGTATATAGCACGACGGCGGTGCGCAGTAGAAGCATGTTGTGGGTTGGCACTCCACATGTGTAGTACCAGATTACGGGTACGATTCTCCCTCCTCTCTAATAGAGGATTTTTTATTCTTTCAAATCCTATCCATACAACTTTCGGTAATATCGCGATGATGGAGGATACCTTGAAATCATGCGTTTTTGCTGCGGTGAGAACGATCATTCATTATATTTGGACCGCCTTTCGCGAGAGATGGAAAGCTTGTGGGAAAGAGAGCAGGCAAAGGATACGCACACAGACCTCATTCCCACAAACCCTAAATCTCAAACCCGACTTCCCCAATTGTGTGCTTTATCCAACATGTTAATTTGAAAAAGAAAATTCCTCCGGAAGCTACTGCTGTGTTTTCATGAGTGATAAGAATGTTACAGCTTGATAGGCTGCAGGGTCGACGAGGTACTGGGATGTAGCTGAACCTTTCTCACGATGAAAAACTAAGGCAAAGCACCGCGGGAGGGGACGCGGGGCATGCTTTGAGCGAACGAGACTGCCCTGTACCCCCTACTAAAACCGAGTTGAATATCCTCGCGAAGACTGCTGACTGCTTTAGACGGGCGCCAGTGTAGATGGGACGAACACCCACGCACGTACAATGTATGCCACAACGATGGCCACCCCGGCATCTAGGTTGGTCAAGGTTTACTCAGAGTTCAGCGGTCAGCGGTGTTGGCGAAAACGGTACTTAACCAGCTAGCGCCCGAACTTGAGAACCTCGGAGTTCAAAACAGAAACATGACACGGTTTCAGAGCTTGGCCACAGGAACAGCAGGTACTCAGGCAAGAAGCCTACAGCGCTTGAACTATCTGTTTGTAGTCGCTGGTGGGGTACTGTACCCCATAGAGAAATCAAGCAACGAGCTTCGGCCAAAATGAAGAGGTTGTTGATTGCCTCCGCTTTCTGTGCCCCGGTGGGGAGGCCAAACCACCACGAAAAGCCAAGCAGGGTAAGAGAGGGGCGCAGAAGGGTCCGAATACATGCGGTAGCTTTTAGCGTCTACCGATCAGTTGCGGCTACTTGCTTTTTTTAAGTACCGTAATAACCTCCAGGACGTGATGAGCGGAACCAAAGTCTAATCAGCGGCGAAAATGTCGCAGAGAACGGTCGGAAGTTATTTTTCCGGCGAGAAAATAATTCCCGCCGACTAAAACGCGCTAGATCGAACACAACGACGAACACCAAAGGCAAGCAACACGCACACAACGGCCTCGTGAAATACGTTGTGTTGTACACCCGCCCAAAAAATCAAGCTCGGATTTTTTGTTGTTGGAATTTCCCGCTGTGTTCTCAACCATCACTGGCAGTTTCTCCCTGCCTCGCCTGGGCTTGCCTCTGTCACTGAAGACGTCTGATCCGGGGCCAAACCGAAGAGTTTCTTCTACGTTTGAAGGTTCGGGCCAGGAATCAGTAGCGCTTCGGAAGCGAGGGTTCTATCCATCGGGAAATAATTCCCCTCCTCCATCACAGACCTCCTCCCGGCTGTGCCTCGGGCAACGGTGGACATTATTTTACAGGGAGTTTCCTGGAACATTCTCTTTCGACAAAGTGCTAAGCACCCCTCACGTTATATGTGTGTGTGGGTGTGTTTTTTCCGGTCAGGGGGAAGTGAGGTGTCCGAGGCACCCGAGATCTTGGATCGAGAAGAAGGTTTTCTTCATCACCAGGACTCGCCTCTGCCCATACTGCGACCTAGAAAGGTGAGTGAGCTTTTTCCGCGTTACAACATCGTGATGTGTCCGTGGTACGGTATTTGTTTGGGAGTGAACCAATTCTGTCAGCACCAGACGGTCTTAGGACGTCGTCAGATCGTAGCACGACGGTACGATTGATGTGCCGGAATTGCACCGCGTGTGTTGGCCCGGGTTGTCGTGCTGCCCAATTTCGTGGACTGGACCAAATGGAGCGGTATCCGAGTGCAAGTCACAAAGCTCAGTTCACAGGTTCCCGCAGACGTGCGGGTGGTCGACTGCTGCTGCCGCCGCCACCGCTGTGCTTGCGGACAGCTGTTGGCAGACGTCGCGGTATGTCTCTTCGATGCTGCCCTCTGCTCCCCCCACACACCCAGAAAGACTTCGAGCGCCCCCCCTCCCCCCCTTGTTTTCCTTGTCGACCCCCCTCACGACGTTCAATGTTTCGTGACCCTCCTCCTTCATTGTTGATCAGCTACGCGGTCCCTCGCGTCAATGAGAAAGGCGTCGTGCAGGAGGTGCCCTGCGAGCCCGGATTCGGCGGAACCCCTCTCCCTGAAAGAAGGCCTCCCAGGACCCCGAGAAACCAGCCAGGAGGGGGAGCACCGATCCCTCGGGGCCGCACTCCGAGGGCAGCGCCGGGCGGCGGCGGCGATCGAAGGGGCGGGTTCACGCCGAGAGGGGCGGGGGGTGGGGCGTTCACGCCCAGGGCGGACGGCGCGGGGCGAGGGGCGAGGAGTAGAACCCCCGTGCGGGCGGGGACGCCGAGCCAGCGGGGTCAATGGCAGAGCCAATCCCCTCGAACGTGAGTGAGAGGCTGGGCATCTGCGAGAAGAAACTTACCCCATTCACCTTGTTATTGCTGCCAGTGTTTCCCCCCAAAAAAGTCGAACGTGAATGACAGGCTGGCAGGCCACGTCATCTTGTACAAAAAAAAAAAACATCTTGTAGCCTTTTGAACTTTTTTTTTCAGGGTAGTCCTCGGGAAAATGCCCGAGTTTTTTTTCCCGTCGTGTAGGTCGGTCCCGGTACTCCGCGGGAATACCGTCATATTTCGCACTACCGTGAACCGACAAAAGTGGTACCGTAAAAAAAACGAAGTACCGTCAACCGCCAAAGAAGTACCCCTCAAATTGCAAAATCGCCGAAAAAGTACGGTCAAATAACGGTGTACCGTCAACCGCCAAAAGTGGTACCGTCATATTGCGGTACCGCCGTAAAAAAAAACCCGTCATGCTGCGGTACCGTCAAAAAAACGAAATACCGTCAACGGCCAAAAAAGTATCGTCATACTGCGATACCGTCAAAAAGTACCGAGAGGAGTCCGCTAGCATCATCTCCTGCTCCTGGTCATTTGTTGATTTGTTGACGTCTCAAGAGAGGAACTGAAGTTCAACTCCGGCATCCTGTGCTTTTTGTCTTTCTTTTTTCCTATTTTTTCTTTTTCCTTTTCCTTTTTTCTTTTTTTGGTATTCGTTTGCTTCTATCGGGCTGGTTTGTCGCGTTTGGGTAGAATCTTTTTTCTGCTTTGTGGCCTTTGGAATGGATGGTCGCAAGTCCGCGGCCTGCAGCCACACACACACACACACGCGGTCCCAGAGTGCACCGGTCCAGCAGAACCAGAAAGATGGCAGCTGTACAGGGGAATGCCGGTAGTACTAACAGCAGTATGGTCGAAGGTGTTGGTACTGCTGGCGATTCGTTGGGTTGGAATGCAAGTGAACCGGTGGCTGAGAGCGTGACATTGTTGCAAAGCCCACCGGAGACTCAAGCCTCGGTCGACGCTGGCAATGGCAAAACTGTGCAAGTCACACTTGACGAGCCTATGGAGGGCAAACGGAGGTTGACATCTTACGCGTGGCACTTTGCGAGTAAATTCAGCCCGTCCATCAACGGGAAAATGTGGTGTGTATGGCGAAGAAGGCTGATGGGGCGACTTGCAAGCACCTCGTGAAGTGGGAAGGAGCAACAACAGCAGCAGCAACCGGCAAGAGAGGGAAAGGCTCGGGAACTTCTGGCATTTCCAAGCACCTCGATACAGCTCACAAGGTCGAGGTGGACAACTACAAGGCTGAAATCGGCGCAGACGAGGACAAGAAAGCGCCCATTCTAGCGGCAATCGGTGAGTTTGTATTTTTTTTTGCCCAAGACTACGGGGAATACCACCCCCCGTGGAAAAACTTATGAACATGCGGTACGTATATACGTAAAGGTTTGCGGATTGTATGCCGCTAGATCTGCAAGGGTGAGGGTAGCTTGGTGTGTACAACAGATCCACAAGGACATAAATATTATTCACATAAAATACGAAGTATAAGTATATAAAATATACTTCGAAACACGAAGTACCGGGTACATAATACAGGCGACCCCGCTTTAAGGACGCTCATGGTTTTTCCCGGAAAAAAAACGTCCTTAAAGCGGGGTTGCGTCCTGATAAATCAGGGGACGATAGCTCACCATCCCCGGGGCCAATGGAGGCATGCTATACCTCAAATCACGCGTCTTTTGCTAAGGAAGGGGGTGGTACGAAAAGTCAGCATCGCCGAGACGACTGGCAACCGCTTGTTGACGTCGAACATATTTACAATACTTGAAATGACATGTACAGCAGTCGGGGACGTGTTGAACACAACTACTGTACACCAGTTTGTACTTGACCAACTAATGTACTGCATACCCGGCAGCGGAAGAAGGAGGAAAGTCCAAGTAGACATACATTTATCTCATTCTTGTGAAACATAAAAGAAAACGAGCGTATTTCAGCGTCGCACCAAGGAACACCAGTACATATCACTGTCCCGGCGGAGACCAAAAGCTAACCTGATGGGTTTTCCTTCCATGTATCGCGAAGAGTTCCCTGAACCTCCCCCCGCGGCTTGGCTCTACGGCTCTGTTGAGTTTCATGAGTAAACGAATGAACGGTCTTCGAAAGAAGGTACTGCGTCTCACCGTACTCGCCACCCCTTGCCTTCGCGTACAAATACAGACATCGCCCCCACATAAGAAGAATTCTGTTGAGAAAAAAGGCTCAACTTCGTACGAAAAATAGGAAAAAAGGGCTAAGAAACATTGCTCCATCTCGGCCACAACGTAAGAAACGCCCCAATAAGAAACGTGATGGTGCGATATCCCCATGACATCAGAAATCTGCGGTGCTCCCAACCCCGTCCCAAACTAAACAGAAGTGCATTTTTTTGTAGGGGGCAGAGTCTCCCCCGCCCCCCCGCGCCCCTGCTGTTCACAGTGAGTGCTGTACTGTAGTACTGCCACACATCGCGGACAACCATATGCTCTCTGCTGTTGTACGGGTTTGATGGCACTCTCCACCACCTCTCTTGAGGGCTTGATGATGTGGAATGTCCTGAGAGATCAAAAGACAGAAAAAGGAAATATGAAGTACTTGTTTGAGTCTAAGGAGTAAGAGAATCGGGAGGATGCGACGGTCCAAAGAAAGAAGGAATGCCATTCACGAAATGGACGACTTGGGCCGGTACTTCGACCCAAAAGAAGGGATTGGTGAGACTTGAACCGATATTGACGTTTGTTAACTGCGGGCGCTATCTGTAGGATCGAACGTCCTCCAAGCGAGAGATAAGCTCGCCCTCGGTGAGGGGCGAGGTTATGTTCGACTCTTCTTTGGCGGCATCAGATGGACCGCCGGTAGATGGGAGGAATCTATCCATACCAACACCCTGTTGCCGCTGCAGCAGCAGACCGCTCGCTACTTCTGCACTCACTGTGGTGCGTGGTTCGTGCAAAGAGCGGGCCGCAGACCCGCAGGACACACGAAAAGGGGGGGGTACGCGGCAGAAAAAATGGGGGTACCCCATTATGGTATGTTCTGCCGGGCCCCCGGCGCTCAGCAAAACAAGTTTCCTTTAGGCGGGGAGTCTCCTTGACGCGAGCGTCCTTAAAGCGGGGTCGACTGCATATTATATACAGCTGATAATATATTATATATGATATTATATAATATATAGTATACACGATGTAATACACCAAGTACTCCTAATATGTAGGACATGTTTACTACTTTTCAGTCAAGTATTAGCATTAAATATTGAAGATGTGAGTGTAAAAATATAAAAAATGTAAAATATAAATGGAAACCTAAAAAAAACACTTGTGCTGTATGTATGATTCTAGATTGCCAAGTACTTCTTAGTATACATTTTGCATTATACATTCACGTGGCCCTGCTCGACCTTCTTGCTTTCTGACTTTCTGATTCGTCTTGTCCTCCGGTGCGTGCTCTGTGATAAATGTGGGGAAATCATCAGCAGGTTCATCAGCAAAGGCGCCGGGTTCAGCAGCTTCATCAGCAGGCGCACCGAGCTCATCGTCGCTCAAAAGTTTCATGGTGCCGACGATGACCAAACAACGGAGGGCAGCGGCCGACCGCCGTTTCGTCCTCTGGTGCTGCATCGACCTGAGGCCGGAGCAGTGCGGTTCGACCAAGGCTTCAAGCTCTTCTTGGGGTCTCTTTCCCCCGAGTACGTGAAAACCACAATGGCCGAGAACACGTTCAACCAGATCTTGGACGAGGTTTACGGCACGGTACTCTCATCCGTCGTCGGCGAGTTGCGGACGCTACGAGAGGAGAACCTCGACATGGGGTATTCGGGACCCTTCCTTGGTGCCCAGCTGGATCTTACAACAGCGGGCGGCGAGGAATACATCACCTTCACCGTAACGTTCGTAAAGAAGGGCAACACGGACATCACCCCCATCGCGCTTGCGACACGAGCGTTTCCCGGCAGCCACACTGCCGAGGACATCCAACCCTGGATTGAGAAGGTGAGGCGCTTTTGTTTTTGTGTTCTGTTGAAACTACGGTACTCTGTCGAAATTGTGTCTTCAGAGACCATATTTTTTATTTCTTATGTTGTAAAAGTTTCATTTATTTATTTGTTTTATTTATTTCTTGATCTTGTCCCATCCGTTGTCACGCCCCGCGATTCGCACCTCACGCTAGAGTACTTCTCGGGATTCATGGGCGAGTCTGTGGTGCCATCGGACGTCGTCCTCGCGTTTACGGTGGATCAAGGGGAGAACATCATCAACGCGTGTACGGCGTTGGGTGTTACCGTCGTCGAGTGCAACTGCCACCGCGTCAACACCGCAGTCGTGAGGGCGTTGGGCATAGCCGGGAGAGGGAGAAAGGACCCAACAATGGGCACATTCATGAAGAAGCTGGCAGCGATGGTTGGTGTTTTCAGCCACTCCGCCGTCAACAACGACGAGCTGAAGGAACTCCAGAGGCTGGAAGAGGGCTTGTCGCGCATCTACGAGGTCTTCAGACGAAACGACACAAGGTGGTAAGTGATTTGTAATATGTGATTTGTCATTTTTGTGATGTGCGGTTTGTGGCGAAATTGAAACAACAAATAACTGGACACGTCCACCCTCTGTTCAACCGGCCCCGCCCCCACTCTCCGCGGTCTGACGATTTTCCCTTTTGCAAATTCTTTCCCAACGATAAGGTGGACCAGCCAGTTCAAGATGATGGATCGTTCCCTAGCCTTGAAGAAGCCCATCTCCGAGTACTTCAAGAAAAACCCTCAGAACGAGCGAAAGCTGACACCGAACGAATGGACCATCATCGACGAGGTGTGCAGCCTCCTGAGCGACGTTTCCGAGGTCACCATACGGATGCACGGGTCCGTAGATACCCACATCGGCCAGGCGATGTTCATCATTCACGAGCTGATCGAGATGCTGGGGNGAAAAACCCTCAGAACGAGCGAAAGCTGACACCGAACGAATGGACCATCATCGACGAGGTGTGCAGCCTCCTGAGCGACGTTTCCGAGGTCACCATACGGATGCACGGGTCCGTAGATACCCACATCGGCCAGGCGATGTTCATCATTCACGAGCTGATCGAGATGCTGGGGGAGGACCCCCACCCAATCCGACAGCCAACCGCCACTGTTGTGCCGGTCTCACCGGAAGGCATCCCCACGGACGACGCCCAGGTGACGGACCTGGCCACGGAGGCGCAGTGCGTGCTCGAGGTGCTGCTGGACGTGATGAGAGAGAAGGGGGTGGGGAGCGCTCAGGTTGCTGTGGAGCGTTTGTCCGTGTGATGAACCCGAGGCGGAAGTTGCTTGACAGCGACCACCTCAAGAACGGTTCTGCAGATCTCAGGAAGAAGGCCAAAGACGACTTGAAGGCGGTCATCGCCAAGTTTGACGTCGGGCCGTCCACCGAGTCTACGGCGGCGCCAGCGCCAGCTCCGGTGGAACACGGACCCGGTGGAACCCGCACCCAAGAAGAAGGTCTCGAGATTGGAGGAACGGCGCGCGGCACGTCTGGCGGCAGCTACCGGCGGCGGCGATGCGAGTGTCTCTCTCCAGACTCAATCTCCTACCACGGGCCGGCGCGTGCTGATCGAACGAGAGGTTTTGCTGTACCTGGCCANAACACGGACCCGGTGGAACCCGCACCCAAGAAGAAGGTCTCGAGATTGGAGGAACGGCGCGCGGCACGTCTGGCGGCAGCTACCGGCGGCGGCGATGCGAGTGTCTCTCTCCAGACTCAATCTCCTACCACGGGCCGGCGCGTGCTGATCGAACGAGAGGTTTTGCTGTACCTGGCCAAGCAGACACAGATCGAAGTGGATGGTGTCAATGGTCTGGGGGTTTGGAATAGGCGGGGCACTGACAGCGTGTCCCCGACGACTGGCAAGGTCACATTCCCGGCAGAAATGCCCTACCTAGCGTTTATCGCTCGGTTGTACCTCGGGACCGAGGCCACCAGCTGTCAGGCCGAACGCAATTTCTCAGCGCTCGCCCACCTGATTGGCCAACTACGCTGCAACATGCTTCCAAGCAAGGTTGAGCGCATGATGTTCATCAGGCTGAACCGGCACTTGGTCGCCGAGGTCCGCGGGCTGGACGCTGCAGTCGCGTAGGCGAGAGCTACGGCATCCAAGACCGCACAGAGTTCAATGACTGCTGAAGAGGAGAGGGCGAACCAGACGGTTGAACTTTGCCTGTAGACGAAAGCGGCTACGGGTGACAGCAGAAGACTGGGCTTGCATGGGGCCGAGGGAGCTACAAGATCCAGCTAAACCTAGTTTTCTGCTTTTTTTTTTTCTTGTTTTCTTTTTTCTTCGAGAGTACCAGAGTACGCCTAATCGTCTTGGCATGTTCCTGGTTTTCGATCGCATCGATCTGTCCGTCTGTTTTCTTTTCGTATTGCATGTTTTCCGCGTGGCTGCTCAGCTTGTCAGTTTCTCAATTTGACGATTTGATCTTATCTCGATGGCGTGGTCTTCGAAGGAAATACCGTCAACCGCCGAAAGCACCGTCATTACCGTCATTTTGCAGTACCGCCGAACAGGTACCTTAAAAAAAACGAAGTACCGTCAACCGCCAAAAAAGTACCGTGATTTTGCAAGACCGCCGAAAAAGTACCGTCATATTGCGGTACCTTCAAAAAAGTACCGTCATTTTGCAAAATCGCCGAAAAAGTACCGGCAACTTCGGCGGTACCGTCAACCGCCAAAAGTGATACCGTCAAAAACGAAGTACCGTCAAAAACGAAGTACCGTCAAAAACGAAGTACCGTCAAACCGCCCAAAGACTACCGTTATTTGCAAACCGTCCCGTTTTGTGTCCGTCAAAAGAACTGGTACCGAGGACTACCCTTTTTTTGCTTGTGTTTCCCCGAATACAGCAGTAAGTGCCGTAGGCCCCGATCGCTGCCCACGGTCTTCGCGGTTATCTCGGTGAATGTGCGGAAAATGCGCATCGTGGGCGGCTGGCTCTTGCTTTGATTTGTAAATAGCTCACCCGTTGGCCACCGCCGTTACATGGTGTTCTCGACGAGTTATTCGGACGCGTATCCAGCGTGAGAAAGGAGGAGCGTGGAACAGAGGGTCCTCTTCGACAATCAGAGAAAAACTGAACACGAATCGGTCCGTTTTGTGTGTGCAGGCACATGTATGCTATGCAGGCGCTGTTTTTCCAGCCTGCCTTTTGTGAATAGCCCTCCCTTGATTCGTGCACGGAGCTGATTTCGGGTCTTCCGACTAGCACAGGAGAACAAAGGCGGACCACTGTTACCCTGTCGGTCGCTATGCAGTCCTTCCCGGCGCTCATTTCTCCCCATTTTTCACCGTCTGTTGGGATGGTGTTGGCTGTTGGTCCGTCCGTCTTTTTGCTGTTCCCCAGAGCCACCGTGCGACGGACTGCTGTCTTCAACCCCACGGTGCCGACGCCGGACCAGCGAGGGGTGAGTGGGAAGAGCGTGAGGTGTACAAGCGAACCAAGAGCCGGTCCTGCAACACTGGCGTTCATTGTTGCTCTTGATGTTGTCTTCGCATTTCAAACCGTTCCGGTCTCTGCTCAGTACCTTCGAATGTTCTTACTGGTCCAACTGGTTTATATGGCCTGTGTTCTGTTTGCGAGTTTTAGGGCTGTTCCACGCGTCAATCGATTGCTCTGCGCCCTGCAGCAGCTCTCGATGCATCGTAGGCACTGGTTGTCATTGCTGGTACTCCTCGCTTTAATTTCTCGCCAACCTCTCAGACTCCTGGCACGGTCTGCAGCAAGGAATTAAGCGTCTGTCCTGCCACGCCACAGCAGACGCGAGAAAAGCAAGCAGCAACTCCACCCGGGCGAAAGATTTGTACCTCTTTCTTCTGCTAGACTATTCACTTCCGATATTTTTGACCTGATAAAGCACCATTTGCCGATCAGGCACGGCAAAATGCATGAAGGCATGTTTATGCGTCGTGGCCATATCGTTTTTTGCCTAGTCTGCGTACCCCCCTTACCATCGGACCGCCTTGGCGAGGATTTTTTTTTCTCAATGAAATAGAGAGGAGGGTCCCGTATCCCTTAACCTATCCCTTACACCCAACCCCACCCCACACACCCGTACTAACACCAAGCTTAATATCCTCGCGACGATTACTGCATCCTTCACCCCCCCCCCCCCCCCCCCCCCCCCCCCCCCCCCCCCCCCCCC